TATCGAAACATTCTTTTTTAAAATTTATTTCTGGTGAGGTATTGACCAAATAAACTTCATGTTCGTCAATCGATTAATTGTTTTTATTATTTAGTTATCAACTAATTTTCATTATTTTCTTCTAGATTACGGGATTTCCAATGCAAAAGAAGACAGTTTAGCTTCTGGTCTCTCTTACAAGTTAGTTTAGCTTTCTATTCTTTATACTATATATTCTTTTTTGAATTTGAGTACTACTCGCTAAATCATCAGATTACGAAGCATATCAACATTTATACTATATGGTGCCCTTGATAAGATTTACACATCCATATTATTATTTTCACTATTGGATCCTTCAGCTTGAGAAATGTAACAACTTATATTAATCATTATTCCAGTATGCATGATTTTACTCTAGAATGACCAGAATTTCTTTCAAATTCTTTATTTTAGATATTTTCTTCTTGCACTATACTTTCCTATCCACGGAACAATTGACGAGCATTGCAATGCCACGGCATTTCCGTCGCGCCGTAAAAATCGGGTCGACATGCTGCTTTATGTTGATGGGCCAAAGAACCAAGGCCCATTAGCAACTAGAACTAAGATTTACGACTAGCCCAACCCAGTGTCATGTCTGGCCTCTAACTCACTATCGGGCCTAATTAAGCCTAACAAGAAGATGAGCTTTTAATTCACCAACTCTTCCCTAGCTCAAGACGTCCGAGCGTTGCGTCAAACACCCCAACTCCCAAGTCCCAACGCCATCCCCTTATCCACCTTTGAGCCCAACGCGTGTACATCCACGTGCCCAAACAAACCTACACGCGTCACATGCCCACTCCACCCACCCATTTCTTCTTTTTTTTTTTTTTTTTTTTTGAGGTAAGCCACCCACGCATCTTATAAGTGGCTCACGAGTCCGAGCTAGCTAGCTCCTCATCGCTATCGAAATAAACTTCCACAGTCACAAAGGCAATTGCGATATCAAACGTTATTTAGTCAGAAAATCTCAATTACAAGCTCAAGCAATGGCATCCCACCAACAGCAAGCTCGCCAGAACGCTGCTGAGACCCGAGGCCAAGCTCGGGTAATTAACTATAACAAATGCTTATATATTTTCTTGATTGTTGTGGGACAAAATACTATATATCTTCTTAATTAATTTTGGTATGTATCACGTTAGTAGCACACCAGTCTGAATATATTATATGCCCAATTGTAACTCAAGGCTTTGGATTGGTACAGACTTATGGTTATCCTAATGTTTATATATATATAGGAGAAGGCTGGTCAGATGACGGAGAAGGGACGGGAGACTAAGGACGCCACGATGTCGAAGACGCAGGAGACTGCTCAGTCGGCGAGGGACAAGGCAGCGGACACGGCTCAATCGGCCAAGGATCGAACCTACGAGGGGAAAGAGCAGACCGGAGGTTTCATGAGGGACAAGACTGAAGCGGCGAAGGAAAAGGCGTCTCATGCCGCTCAGAGTGCCCGTGACACTGCACAGGTCGGCAAGGAGAAGACCGGAAGCTTCTTCCAATCCGTAAGTAGTCGAAGCATCCAAGTTCGACCGTGAACGACTATGGATCGGTAGACCTGTGTAGCATCGTTGTTTTGAAGTTAACACTTCGCGCAAACATATTAACCATTTTGTTTTAATTTATTTTTCTTTTTTTTTCATTTTTATCGATGTATAGGCCGGAGAGCAAGTGAAGGGTGCAGCGCAGGGGGCGGCCGATGCGGTGAAGCACACTTTTGGGATGGGAGGAGAGGACACAGGCAGGGATGAGAGCACTGGAACTTATGGGAGGAAGGACTAAACGCAGCGAGCTAGCTAGCTATCAGGGTTTAGGGTTAACTTGCTTAGCTCATGCGTTTGTGCTTGTGATATATAGCGTGTGGGCTGTTTCTATGTGTTCGAATTTGCCTTGGTTTTTAGGGAGAAGGCTGTAGTACGTAGTTTGTTTTGTCTTTTCTGAATTTCTGATGTTTTTCTGGGTACTTAATTCGCACGCTTTTAGTGATGCCCTTTAGCTCCGTCTTGTGGGGTTTAGAGAGGGTTTAGATTTGGGAAGATTGAATAAAGTACTTGTGGAGTAGCATAAACTATCTAATGTTCTAGAACAATTTTTCACTTTAGCCCTTTTAAATTTTTTATTATTAAAATCGATCCTTTTTTCTTTTATTTATCAAAACCGACCCGATTTCTTAATTAGCGGCTTAATCACATTCCTAATTAGTCGGGGTTGCCAACCCCGACTATTTAGGAGAGTCTTAAACCCTAATTAGAAGTCTTAAACCCTAAAAATTAATATCCTAAATAGTTGGGGTTGGCAACCCGACTAATTAGGAATGTGATTAAGCCGCTAATTAAGAAATCAGGTCGGTTTTGGTAAATAAAAGAAAAAAGGGTCGATTTTAATAATAAAAATTTAAATAGGGCTAAAGTGAAAAATTGTTTAATGTTCTAATATTATTAGATGTGTCATCAATTCATTGGTACGACAAAATAAAAAAATGTATATTATGAATAATATCGTATCCTCTGTTACTCTATTTCTATACGTGCATAATAGATACCAATTATTAATTAAGGTAGGAATTTTACGGAGCTACAAACGTGCATGTGAGATATTGGGAGGAAACATAATATCTTAATTATTTAATCAACGATGTTATGCAAGATACGCGGGGGAGACATAAATCTTTTTTGATCAACAATGTTTTATCATGTAATAACGGAGTTTTGAGGGTGGATGCTGTGATCCTGGCAAATGATGAGAAGTCGAGTTCAGAGTAAATTATCAAGCAGAAATAATCAAGTTCCTAACCTATTAACCTAACAAAAAAAATAAGCATGAGTCCTTTAAAGGATGGACTAGAAAACTGGGTGATCAATGAATATGAATGAAGTACAGTAAAGGGTACTTGAATACAGCTAAATTGGTGGCTTAGGCCACATTTGTTCTTATGGTTTTTAAATTCTTGGATATTAATAGCAGAGATTATTTCAGTCCAATCTCATGCTCTCATGTTCTCGTAAAAAGTGACATTCGGACTATAATATATATCGCGGATTATTTAGTCTAGTTTTTTAGTTTTTAAAAACTAACATTCAAATTAGCTTAAAATACTCTTGACTACAAATACTGTTGACTGTTTTATTGTTTGCTTTAGAAAGATTGTCATCGTTTAGACTATTATCATAAATCCAGACTACTATTTATCGTAAATGATCTTTTCATTCTTAATTCTCAAGTCAACTTGTTAGTATTTGTTTGTAAAAAAACAAGATAGTCCCACATCGGAATTTTGAGCATTCTTTTAGAGGTTTAAAAGCATTGAATGCTTATTGCGCTTTGAATAATGGATCAAAGTGTAGGCTTCTAAACCCGCGTGCGGGTAGCGCGAATAATGCGCGATTTTGAATAACTTTAATACTTTTTGTGAAGAACATGGCATTATTCATCAATGTACAGCACCTCAACAGAATGGTTTAGCCGAAAGAAAAAATAGAACTTTACAAGAAATGATAAATTGTATGCTTAATAATGCTAAGTTACCTTTAAATTTATGGGGAGAAGCTTTGTACAGAGCATGTTATATTCATAATAGGATTCCCTCTAAAAAGTCAAATATAAGCCCTTATGAGTTATGGAAAGGTAGAAAACCTAATCTGTCATATTTTAAATTGTGGGGGTGTTTGGCTTATTATAGAGTTCCTGTTCCTAAAAGAACAAAACTTGGACCTAGAGCCTTTAAAAGTGTTTTTGTCGGATATGCTGAAAATAGCAAAGCATATAGACTACTTGATTTATCTTCTAATACTATTGTTGAATCTAGAGATGTTGAATTCTTTGAAAATAAATTTTCTGTAGATTCTGAAAATGTTGAAAATGTTCATATTCTGCTTAAATCTAATAATTTTTCTAGTTCTGATTTTCATGCTAAGGAAACGAATACATCTAAAGAAACATCAGAGCCAAGAAGAAGTACTAGAGCAAGAAAAGAAAAATCTTTACCTTCAGATTTTATTTCTCCTGAACAAATTATTTTTCTTGTTGAAGGTGATAGGAATAATAATGTTTTAAATAAACATCCTATAAGTTTTAATCCAGATGATGATCCTAAAACCTTTATAGAAGCAATGTCATCTAGAGATGCTTCATTTTGGAAAGAAGCTGTCAATGATGAAATGGATTCTATAATGGGAAATAGTACTTGGATTTTAGTAGATTTACCTCAAGGATCAAAGCCAATAGGATGTAAATGGGTTTTTAGAAGAAAATATCATTCTGATGGTTCTGTTCAAGCTTTTAAGGCTAGATTAGTAGCCAAAGGGTTTAGACAAAAAGAAGGCATAGATTATTTTGATACATATGCACCTGTCGCACGTATAACATCTATTAGAATTCTTATTGCTTTGGCATCTATACATAAGTTATTTGTGCATCAAATGGATGTCAAGACTGCTTTTTTAAATGGAGATTTAAATGAGGAAGTTTACATGGAACAACCGG